TTAGACAGACCTACGGAGATAATAACACGCACAAAAACAAGACAGAGCAAAACCAAGCAACAATATACAACAAAACAACAACAGCAAACCAACGACAAAAAATCAAAGCAAAACACAACAAGAAAGAAAAGCTTGTAGCTAGTTCAAGGATTGTTTGTTGGCCTTTAGCAGTGTTTTCCAGTCCAGTCTGTTGGGGCACCACGCCCTGGCCCCAAAGTCCACCTTCAGGATTCCCTGAGGACCTCGCCGCTTTGTTCCCTTGCTGTTCTGTTGCACCCCCTTAGTGTTTTGTCTCGGTGTGGTGGGATCAGATCGGGTGAATTCAATTCCCACACTATGTCTCTGGTGTTGTCCCTTGTAGGGCTATGTGTCTGTGAGGGGCGTCATGTCTCATTGTGGAGCTGGCCATATGGTCCTTTCTGTGGATGGGCTGCTCTAATTGGGAACATCGTCTTCACGGCCTGGTGGCCCAGGATGTGCTCCACTCTCTCCTCCTCCCACTTCATCTGCTCCCATGTGCTCTGACCAGATATGTCCCTCTCCCAGAGCTGCAGATTCAATGCCGTCCTTTGAAATAAATTCTTCTGGAGGGAGGGGCAGGTGTTCATGTAGTAGCTGTGATTGGGGCCGGGGCCCCCAGACCTCTCCACTTGTTCCCTACTCCACACTGGCATGTTACATTCAAATCTTGGAGCACTGGGTTGAAGTCTGGTCCCTCTTTCCCTGTGGAGATATAAACAATACTCTCCCCTTGGGTGGGTTAGTACCCTGTGCCCCCGCTACCCATTCCTTTTTTATTTTTTTTTCCTTTCCCCACCTCCTTTTTAGTTGTCTACCATGTGTATCCCTGTATTTGGTCTGGTCCCTGCTATATTACCTGATCCTCAGCCCATGGATGTTTGTATACAGTAGCTTTTTCCCTATGCCCCTTTAGCATTTTTTTTTGAAAGCTTACCTCAGCAGACTCATGTTGTACTTGTCCTTTTGTGCTTGACTTACTTCACTTGGCATGATTTCCTCCAGTTGTTCCCATGCAGTGATGTGCTTCATACGTTCATCGTTGCTTTTTAGCAATGCATAGTACTCCATTGTTTGTATGTGCCACAGTTTTTTAATCCAATAGTTAGTTGA